GTCATCCCGACTGTCAGCGAAACGTTTGTGGTGAAGTTGGCAGGCTCAATGAACTTAACACCAGCTGTTCTATTTTCTTCATCAGTGATAACAGCCCTCAATCTCTATGGGCTCTGATGCTGTTAGAAATAATTAACGGATTATCAGAACCATCATAGGATTAACAATCACTCAGCTGGGCACCGGAGAGGATGGTCACCCGGCGTTATGCATTACACGCAGCTTAGCGTTGTCTGAGCGCGAGAATTTTCAAGATCCTTATGTAAAACGGGGAGCAAAGATCGTTCATGGTAAACATCCTGTTGGCCTAACCAGGTGTATACCGAGGAAGAAGCGTACAAATAAGGGAAAGATTCACCATAATGCGTAAAGGGGTTTCCTTTGTGTTGCCTCAAATCAGTTGATGACTGACTCGAAGCCACAGAGAGAACCGGTTGTTGATGTACACGGCAGTTGCTACATTACCACACGCAAAGACGAGATCAAGTCCTTAAATTAATTCCGGTCGTGTTCGCAGTAGAATTTACTGGACCGTGAAACAAATGGTCTGGTGTGATAGTTAGCATCCAAAAAATGGTTTTAATGGCTCTGATGGACCAGTATGCTACTGGTGTGTCACACAAAAATAACTTAATTCAGTTGTCGAGCCCACACTGGTTGTCTCCTTATAGTTTTGGCTGGGGACGACTTTCACGGGTGAAACAAGCCAGTTAGTGATACGAACTAATCAGACGAGTGCTTCTTTCGGTTTCAGGAAGCCGGCCGGGAATGTTAGTTTCCCGGCTTAACGGTGCTGTGATAAACGCAGCTTGCCATACGATAGTGCGTTGACTACTTCACAACATGAAGATTGTCGAATGGGGAGCGGGTTTTGTCCGAATGATAGTCATTTCTTTGATATGCTGCATGACTTATGAGTTAAATTTAACGGAAATTTAATCAAGGACACTCCCGAGAGATGTGATCCAATCGTAAGCAATAGTTTTGTTGATTTTTCTGTCGTACTATTGTCCAGAGCATCCGTGCCAGTCGGCATCTCGATCAAGTAACATCGCAGAGCAGAGTAGATCTGATCAGTTTTCTTGCACGCGCAAACAAAATTGCAGGGTGCGCCCGCGCATGTTTTGTTTGTTCTCTTGGGACAACTCAGGAGTGAACCACTACAGTGAGTTTGGTGGTTATTTAAGACTTCAGAATCAATGGTGAAACACTGTTTAGAAATTCAGTTCAAATTGCAATAGCACTCTTGCTGAGCGGTATGATCATCGAGCCAATTCGCTGTAAATCCGGTCAATAGAATGCGTGGGACACATTGGCTTTTGCTAGTTGAGCGCATCATTTCTGAGAAACACCACTCGAGCGCATCTGAACTGTTGGGAGATATTGTTCAATTGGAGGTTGGGTTCAGAGAGCGGTCGGAACCTAACAGAAATAAGGAAACTTACTCGAAACACACTCATCTGCAAACCAGTTTGGTCTTGCAGGAGACTTTCCTGAATCCTTTTATGATGTCGAGGAATTTTCAGCAGCGCAGCCAGTAGTGTATCACGTCTAAGGAAGCTTTGTTTTGTGAACACCCACGCTAATTTGCGGACTGCCCGAACCAACAATTGAGTCGATTCTCAGGAAACTTATTAACTAATTCAAGGGTTCTTATGTTTTCTTCCGTTCGGGTAATCCACCGTTTGATCTCTTCATCCAGCTCTGGAAAGAGATATTTCTTTACGTGATCCATCTTCATTTTGGCACGTGAGTCTTCGCCTCATTATTACTTGGTTTGCAATGTGTGCCACATCTGACAATGGCTAACAAAATCTGCACTTGCCATCTTTCTTTTGCTATGTGCTGCTTTTATGCGCAACCACAGCCTTTTCGACAAAAAATAAATAGTTTCATGTAGAAACCATTAGTAAAATTGCCCTGTCAGCCTGTCACCGTCGATTGATTCTGTCCTCGATAACCAAACGTTGGGCTTCCAATTAGACGGAATCTTGTCGAAAGACTGGTTTTATTTTGACTGAGAACCGTCTAGCTTGAAAGCAAAAATGAAATGCCTAGCAGAACCCTTTTATTGCTCAAATACCTGTTGGGTTGAGATTAGCCAAACAATAACGGCTAGCCTCAATCCAACAGGTATGTAGGCGAAAAGACTTCTGCTATGCATTTCATTTTCCTTTCCAGCCGGATGGTTTTCAGTCAAAACAACTCAGTTCTTCGACAAGATTACAGAATCATCATTGACAGCATTAAATCAGTGTTCGACACCGATGCTTCACCGCCGTACAACCATGATTTATTTGAAAGCCTTATTATGAAGAAAAGAATAAAGGTGGACGGGAAAGGGACTTAGTGCTAGCTTACTACAATCGTTCGGAGGTGCCTACACCTCCAGACATTCACTCAGGCAATCTGGATAGAAACTGACAACAAGAACGCCACTGACATTGGTTGGCAGATATATCTTGCAGCGTCTCCAACCAGCCGCAGTAGGGATCACGCGGTCCCCATCCTGGAAGGCGAGTAACACTGTTCCAAAAAGTGAAACCGGTCCAACAAAGCCGGTAGTTGCTCGTGGTCCCTTCCGGGGCCATCAAGTTCGTATCAGTACCTTCAAACATGTGTGAGCAGCTTTAGAGCCGTACTCCTTGAGGCAACTCCGTCATTGGTTGCCTAATTGTCCACTGGTCTACAGCACTTCGACAATTCAGTTTAGTTTTCCAGTCTTTTCAGTTCACAAACGTGGGCATTTAAGTTTAGTGGTCCCAGCTACTAAATAATCGTTTACCGACAATGAGTACTATAATCGAATGTCGACCACGTGACAGTCAGTTCATTGACGCCAAATAGTGCCGTTTGTTCAGTATGATAGAGAGTGAACGGTACGTATTGAGGCCGATAGCTTCCATGCAGGACCGCCATTGTCCCCGTGAAACAGCCATATTTGCTATTAGTATTTTCTCTATCCCGGCGTCCACATCTGAGGAGGCTATATTTGACAAGTCGACTGAGTTGATCGGTGAGAACGTTCATGCTTCGCTACTCAACCATGGACTGATCGGCTGCAGATCGAACAGGCAAACGGTTCTTTGGCATACGAAGTACATAGTTCATTACATACTTCGAACTGAAACTTCCCCAACTTATAAACTCCACCTCATTCCACACCGGGGGTTTCGGAGCTGATGTTGTTGTTGATTATTAGAAGTGAAGCGTTATCGTTATATTTCACCTCTCGAAGTCGAGTTCATTTTAACCACTCGGTTTCCGGAATCCATAGTGATTTGCCGTTACGCGTATGAAGGGAACCATTCCAGTTCCAAGAATGGTGTCGTTTCAACAGTTCAGCAGCTTAACCTCACTACCCTGCGTTGCAGATCCGAAAACCGTTGAGGATCTCAAGCTAATCCCTAATGAATGTGTGAAGAGGTCAATTTCGTAAGTCGTTTGTTGAGGGTGCCTTTTTTAGTGCGGTACGAGTACAATCAAGACCTACAGCCACCGTGCAGGCGCATACGGACGGAATATTTGCAAGCAACATCGAATTCCCCTGTCAATTTTCCGACCATCAGCGTTTGACATTTTATGAGTGTTTTTTTCGCATCCCTGTATACTAACCTAATATCATACATGTCTGTCCGTTCACGCTCTACATCCTTTCTGTCGCACTGTCTGCCTATTTGTCCTTATGCTTCTGTTAGGAGGCTGAATGTGCCTAGCCGAATGTACCAGGTAACATAGATGGTCGTTGATTTGTTCGATGCGCTGGATAATTTGATTGCAAATCTTTGGTCACCAATCGAGGTGATGTCATCAGTGCGTAGAAATCACATCGGATCTAAATCACAGCCTCTGGGTGCTCAGGCTCCAAACCCACTCATCCAGTCGATCGTCATTTATCCACCGACTTCGGAGCACTAAGCCCAAAATGGAACGTTCCGTTCTGTATGCAGGCATTTAGTAGCCAGAGCTGCTTCAGGGTGGGGATACTGGTGTAACGGTGATACTACTGATGGGAGGCATGCGAGTAGTATGTGTTGTTCTTGGAATTTCGCTTTGCGTCTCTTGAAAAGGGGAGATCTGTTGCGGAATTTGTGGAGTCGCTTTGTAACATTTGCTTGGATTTGAACAATGAATGATTGGAGTCAATGAATATACAGGAAAGTTCAAGAAGACGCGTTCAGGAGAAGATGGATGTCCAGTTTTTGTAAATAAGGTGCAAATGAGAGTTTTGCTTCCTTGTCCAATGGTCTGTAACCGGTCAGTTGGCATTTTCTAACGAATAACTCCGCAGCGAAGGCCTTCTTCCTTTCACTGGTAGCAAAGGAAACCACGGAAATTGTACAAATCTCGGAAATTGCTCTTTGTTAGTAATTTCCAGGTTCTTACAAATTCTTACTAAGTCTGTTTCGGCATTAACCCATGTGAATTCGGGACATGACACCCGCGTCTATCCCTTCTCTTAATATTCGGTAATAGTTTGTTTAGCGGGGCCAGGTTGCTGGAACCGTTTTGTTGCATCCCGTCCGCGTTTACGAGGTCGATTGGCGCGTGTGCGTTGCGTTTGTTAAAATTCCAACCAAATCCTTCCTCCTTTCAGTTGCCGGGCCGCTTTTTGATACTACATCAATTCCTTCGATTTGTTTTCCATGTCATTTTATCACGCTTTGCTGCGTTCTCATTGTACAGGGCGGGAACAATTATACTGACTGCGGTTTGCAGCTGCTAATAGTCACGACATTTTTCCACTCACTGCCAGTTGATTCGGCTTGCCGGTCGTAAGCTAGGGGCTCATGCTTTCCATTCTGCTGTTTAGATTTCTGCGGTACAGTTTGGAGACAAAATCGTTCTAAATCTTGATCTAATATGCAACCTAACCAGTATTGACGCAATTATTGCTAGGTTCATGTGCTTTCGCATGCTTGGTTCTTGCCTGTTACTCTTGCCTGAACTACCCAGATTCCATACCCAATTTTCGTTATTCTCTCCTTATCTCCGTGCAGCAAGTCCTTCGTCTCAGGACACTCCTCCCTGGCTGCGGTTGGAAGCACTTACGCCGTGGTGCGTTTCTTTTTTCCAGTGAATTGGTTTCTTGCCGAAGCGTGCACAGTAACCATGTAAAACGTCGATTGCGTTTACTTCGAGATGTGAAATGAGAAACTGTTTTTTCTAGACCTGGATATGTCAAAAGACATTTTTCATCCCGGTTTCGTTTGACACACCGCTACTGCCTCATTTTGACTGGTTTGCCTGTTCACAAGAGCGTGTTATGCCCTGTATGGGGTCTTGGTGATCTCCTTCCAACCATAGTCAGTGAAAGGGCAGTTTCTCGCTTACAGATTCTCTTCGACACATTGTGGGTTCAAACCATAGGACAACCATTTGTTTACACAATTCACTCTCTTTATCAAGTTTGCATCCTTCGAAAATGTGAACCTATGTGACTAGGTTCAAGCCTTGACGTAGCCGTATATCAAAACCGTGGATTTTATATGGCCGGAAATAAATAGGCGCCCTTTCTGTCACAAGCCGTTCTCAGTACATAGCAACAGTTTTACCAGCCAGACCTTTCACAGTATGTCGTCAGTGTATTTCGTTTCCACTTATTTTGAGGAATGCTGTGAACTCATTTCGTCGAGTCTCAACAGGTCACCAACGAGCTGGGTTCGTAGCATGTGACGTTGAGTTGTTGGTTCGTATCGGAAAACCTGTGGCTTGATTGATGTCTTTCACGGCGCGGTATTCGTAGAATTAAGAAAATGTAGCCCTCGTTCCTGGAGCTTTTTCATTTTGTGGATCCAGATGTATGCCATTCTTCTGACTCCTGCGCTGAATTTCTACTGCGTTCGCACCGCAGGAGTCTTGTTCTCAAGCTTAGTTACGAGAAAATCAAGAGGGTGTATAGAGTCGCCTGCCTGAGCACCATCAAGCACATACAACACGTTCCTACCGGCATGATCTACCAGACACCTTTATTTACGCTAGTGAAGACCATTCTCACCCTCTTTCTGCACATGGGTTCTTCGCGGCTGATTCCACAGCAGGGCGCATCAATCGTTAGTCGACTTTCAATGCCGACTCATCATCCTATTCGTGTGGCTTTGCGCAGACACTGTCATTCTTACACGATACCAACTTGTTGCTCCCTCTATAACATAGCGTTGACTGTCGCTTTCAGATAAGTGTCTTATATTCCTACTGTGTCAAACAACGGCGCTGGGGCATCACCCCTCTATCTGCGTTTCCTACTATGTAGGGCGGTGTCAAGCAACATGTTCCGGCGACCCTGATCAACCGAGATAGTGAAAGTTGATGGAAGAACCGTCCGTGCAAGCCCATTGGTAATAAAAAACGAGAGCGCCATTCAGAGGAAAGACAGCATAATGTAAACAAACGTCCGAACAGTGGTCCAAATGTCGGCGTGATTTTCCTTGGTTTGGCTGAACAGCTGAATAGCAATTCAATAAAAAACCAATTAACACTCGTCACCAGCGGCACAATCAATAGCTGACGCACGAGATCTTGTCGTATAGGGAGAGGATAACTTAGTTTAAGCAATCGACATTACCGTTTCGACGAAGCATAGCCTCGGTTGTCCTTACGGTCGCCCCTCAGGCGGTCACCACTTCGATAAAACCGAACTGTGACCTTCCTGTGTCAATGATGGTATTGGGTCACCCTGGTTCACTGGGTGACGCGCTTGTAAGGTTAGTAAGTGTTCGGTGAACCCACCGTTTCATAACAGATTTCCCAAAATCTGTACTTGTCCACTGATTTACATATATCAAAGAAAGAAAGAAAGAAAGCGTTCAGCTGTAGCACCCTTCCGGTGCCTAGCTGCCATGCCACCCGAAGGAAGCACGAGGGCTGGGGTACTGCCAGGTTGCCCAAGCCTAGACAGAAGTCGAGAAGCTGAGGTCGGATTCGAACCACGGACCCTCCGGTCAGTAAATTCGCTCTCTAACCACTTGGGCCATCTCGCCCCAATTTGGTTTATAGAGGCAGGTCCATCGGTTCGTAACATCTCAGGATCATTCGGTTCTCCGCACACAGAAACTAACGATTATTGTCAGTAAATCGCTCTCTAACCACTTGGGCCATCTCGCCCCAATTTGGTTTATAGAGGCAGGTCCATCGGTTCGTAACATCTCAGGATCATTCGGTTCTCCGCACACAGAAACTAACGATTATTTATTCAATATCCTTCCACCGCGATTCCCTTAGAATAGCATCAAAGGTTCATTCATTTACGACAGTTGATGATTGTTATCTCAAATGACGAATGAATCTCTCCCATGCACCTTCCTGCGGACTAGCTCAAAAAGGGTTGCAATTTCCTCCAGTTATGCGTTACAACAGTCTCTTGGAAATCTTTCTTCGACCCAGCGCGAGCGAAGTCTCTTAAGTTATGCGCCGCTCTCCCTCTTATCACTGAAGATGATATCTGGCTATAGCCCATGCATTTATAAGCCTCGCGAAAGGAATCCACTGAGGGTGAATGTGAAATCTCGGTATATTCTGGTCTGAGCTGAGCGTAGATGAGTAGTGATCTGTAGCGCTTGTTGTTCCCCCCCATGAACCGATGTCAACTTTAATAGGGTTGAATCAGTCCAACAAGCCGTAAGGGGTGATCTCCCGAAGGGTGTGAATGGAAACAATGTAGTTCGTTGTTATTTTAAATCTTTGTGTTTGTTGGAGGTAGGCAATAGTGACAAATAGTTGGGCTGATCTATGCCCCCGTTTTGCTCGCTCACTGAATGTACCGTTAGTGGGTCAGAAACCTGGCTACTGCGCGCTGAAGACGTCAAAAAACTTTTAGCAGTTGACCATCGATATTTTCGGAGTATTGCTGGAGTCTGGTTGGATCACCCGATTAGTAACGCTGGAGTACGTCGTCGAAAAGTTTTCGGAAGAAATAAATCACGGTAGATGAACTGATCACACTCCATAGGTTGCGCTGCCTTTGTCACGTGCTCTGTATCCTAGTCGATCGACTTCCTCGAAGAGCTCTTAAACTCACAACCACGCGAAGAGTGGAAAAACGCCAGGAGAAGTCAATGTCTCGACAACGAAGTGTGAAGGCCATTACCAGAAAAATTCGTTGCCTTGGTCATTGCCGTCTCCTTGGACGGGGACTCCGAGACGGGACACATCAGCGGTTAGATATTGCCAGACATGACGCAGTGGCGCCCTCAATGGCACTCACTCATGCATCCGACTGTTGCCTTCAATACATAGCTCCCTTTCCAATCCCCCAAATTAAAAGTCCACTTACAACCCCTGTATTAACGCACGAATTATATCAGCTACAGCCCTCAATGTGAGGCTATCCACCCTACCTCTGCTTGGCCAGTTGTCATGTCGCTTCATATTATTAGTTTCCTTCTTCGACCTGATTTACACCGCTACTTTTCATATCCGCTTACAAACTACAGTTGAAACAGCTTTCAACCTTGGTGGGTTGGCCTCATTGTTGAAAAGCTATCTGGTACCTTCCTCAGCACGTGCCACCAAGTTGAAAACTAATTGATTTCTCAATGTCCCTTTCACACAGCTTTACCTTCAGGAACGATTGCATTTGACGATGGCTCCTATGGTACGACCCTTAATTCAAGTGGTCTATGTCTCATCCGCAGCATACATTGCAATGAGCCGATACACTGACCATAAACATCATCCTTGGGATATCATTGCCGGTGTGTTGCTCGGATCCTTCATTGCATTCGTCTTGGTGAGTCTCTGTGAGTTATTTCCCCTCCCTTCAGCTACGGTTAGGGAGACGACAGTGAAAGTGAGATTCTTGGTCAGTGTGGGCGACTTTTCGGCGGCTGCAGCTTTAGCATACAGATGGCTGTAGGACAGTGTGTGGCATCGGAATCCCGATTTTTGAGTTTGGAAGGTCCCTGTTTGTCCAGAGCTGATCCCTTCTCTGGGTCGCGCGGTCATGCATTCAGGGCGTGTTGAGACCACCTATCTTGCCAGCCCGTACAACTTCCTAGGGCTTCATTGTCCCCCCGGACAGTCACTAACTCTTTACAGCCATATGGGTTGTTCATAGACGGAAACACAAGTGAATATTTCTGGGTGCTTGTGTACAAATAACTAATATAGTTGCCCAGTCAAATTAGCTTGTGGGTGCCTGGCCCCACATTCACGCAGCTGAATCAGTCAGGTGCCCCGACACAGGTCAAGTAGGGCTACATCCATCTAGGCATACCTCTTCAGCTGCCTGTCATCTGACTGGGAACAAGTCTTGCTTCAAGCCAACGCCTGCGTTTGTTGCCCTGTTTAGCACTGCAACCAAGAGTTTTGAAATTCTCAGAGGTCATAGTTTAACGCAACGAAAAGCCGTACGTGTAAGCAGGAACAGCTTTTTGTTTCGCGGATTTGCAAACTATTTGGTCCCGACAGGAGACTCACTGAATCTCAGCTGAGGATCTCGTTTGTACTATTATTCAATTGAATATAATGCCCAACCGCCACCTCATGTTTCAGTTGGTAGGACGAACATATACTACTCATGGGGTTGCTGAAGATTCTTCTGACAAATGAACCAGCCTTTATGCAGCACATTTATTCATAAACGAACGATTCAGTTAAGATCCATTGGAATCAGCGTAGTTTGCGAATGAGTGCATTCCTCGAGTAGCGTATGACCTTTGTTCAAGTAGAACGTAAGGTTGACAGAAACTCGGGAACTGCACTTCCGAATGAGCTCCAGGAAGGGCCAAGCTGGTCGTGAGCTTTCGAGGATGTTTAGATGTGTAGTGTGTTTCGTGAAACTGTTTGTTTCCTTTGGCACTATTATAGTGAAACGTTGAGCATTCCTTCGACGAATTCCCAAAAAATGAGGAGTGCGCGCATTCCAGCCTGATATTATCAAGCAAGCGAAGTTTCGTTAGGTAAATTCCGCTGATATTGCGGGAGTGGTGAGCTAGCGTCGATAACGATACGAACTGGTTTTTGCAACAATATTCTGCCGAGTTGGAGTCAATGGTCTTTGAAACTTCCTCTTCTGAAGTAAATGGAGTCGTTTGGGTACCCAGAATGTACCGTATCTTCGTCTCAGAGACTGATATCTTCATGGGGAACTCATTCGTTCAACCAACTCGTTTTTGTGATGAAGATGTCTTCTCTTAGTGGGTAATTTGTTCATACTGGGACAGCAGTGTGCCGAAATTGACAGGAAAAGGACTGGTGACTCGAATGGGGCGGAAAATACCCCCCACTCACAAGCCAGCTTCTTGGGGTTGTGGAGTTGGGGTCGTTGAGTTGGCCAGGAATAAGGCGGTCTTGATTCACACGTTCAGTAGTTTCTTTCCCAGCATATCGCAGTCTAGTCACAAGCCAGACTTTACCGATTATATCTTCTGATTTCTGTTGCAGTTCCTTCGCTATCTGCCGAAAATGACTGTGATACAATAGCCCCCATATGGCCTCCGAGTGCATTCCAACCATTACTTGGCAGTCATGTACATAATTGGTTCGTTTATCCTACTCCATCTAGGTACTGTTTAAATTCTCCCTTCATAGAAACCCAGCTTACCTCTATTGTCAACCTAATTGTCTCTAACCATTCTTCATCTTGTGCCAGTCGCCTTGTCAGCCTTCTGTGTGGCACCCCGATATTATTCACCCAGTTTTGTGCACTTTCCCTTTTTGATTATTGGAAGTTTTGATGATATATTTCCTCGATAATTTATCGATTCATGCGGTAAGCACTTCTAGCATCCACAGGCCGAGGTTGGGTTTTTAGCAACGTAAGAAATACAAATAGCATGGACATGTGGTCGGCTGGATGCCTATGGGAGACGATTTACAAGAATATACGGAGGCCAGTTATGATGTGGATATTGGTCCAGTTAAGAAACCTTAACTCAATTCTCTACCAGGTCCTCCCACGCTGGCTTTTTCAGCAGCGTTACCAAGGGTGAGCAGAGTGGACGAAACTCCCAGCGCCAATAGAAACGTGTACAGCGTGAAAAGTGTATGTGGAGACTACGTTCTGGCTATTCGGGCGCAGTCAGTATTCAGCAGATACTCGAGTGTGGTTTGTCGTTATGTCCATGTTCTCTGTTTCTGCTGTGCTGCAGAAAATTATCAACAAAGTGACACGGAACCAATCTGATTTGATGTAGTATTCTTGGGGTGAAGTGATCGGTCATCGATGGCATCAGCATCCCTCCAATGAGGTTGATGCTGGTCATTTATCAAAATGATCTTAAGCACCCGGGAATATCGATGTTTTTGCCTAGCAAACAGCCACACTGAATCGTTCATATATTCATGTTTTGTCCGTGCACGGTTTTCATCGTTCACCTACATCGGACATGACAGTAAGCCTGAGAAACCTTGCCTCACCAACCCAACCACTATCGCCACGGAGTAAATTGTTCGCTCACCGGCGTAAGCACTAGTGTCTGTACGCTCTCCAGTGGAAAAATCTGTCTACTGGATTCGGGAAGTCTGACGTTTGAATGTTTGACCGACGTTTGGGCGCGCACCAGGCTTGCGTCTTTATCGCATCTTCGTTCTTTCTAAGTTGTGTTTTGAGATATGTACGGAAAACCTCGATACCAGAAAATTCTCACGCTCCTGAAGCGGTCTGGAACCGACATGAACTCATGAGGAGTCTCAAAAATGTAAATCAACGCACGCGGAGTAGACCTAATATAATTTTTGTCTGGTTCGTATGAAGTTGCTTTGATAGGTGACTACTGCGGCAAACTTTGATTCATTTCTTCAAGCGTGTTAGTGGCTTGTGAGCCTCGTTCATAATGCATCATACAGTCGGGTCTCAGTCAGCTTACTTTCTTCCACACATCTGGCATATGGCGGAGATATTTTGGGAGGTCAGCTGATCAGTCAGGAATTGTGGCTCGGACTTCCGTTTTCAGTGGACGCAGTATTTACAGTAAAACGCTTGACTCATGGATTTTTGGCGCCCAGGATCATCAACAGTGATCGCTGCTTGCTTGCAGACTTTTCGGTCGTTTAAGGCTTAGTATGAACAATTTGGATTGTTTGCACACGTTTCAGTGCTTCTGTTTCGGAGTTGCAGAAAACCGAAATGAGGAACGTCATGTCTCTTTGAGTTTCCATCTCCGTAACTCCAGAGCACTTTTAAAATGATTGGAGCATCGCATCGTTTTTGATGAAAGAACGTATCGTTTTGCCAAATCTACCGGTTCTACCGTGCACCTTGATCGGGAAATAGCTGATAGTGAAGTCCCGTAACCCTTCTTCAGATGTTGAAGCTGGTTCGAACAATGAGGAAGCTGGTATTCGCCATTTTGGCCACTAGCTTTATTCAAAAATCCATCTACATGTGCTTCGGCGTGTTCTCAGACGCACAGTAAACATTGTTGTAAGGGCAGAGATTTCGACACTGAGTGTTGCGTCATAATGAATCAGCGTGCAAAGTAGTTAACTTGTGGCCGGGTCGCTAGTCAATTTCGCGAAGAAGCACTCCCGAAGCTGCATGTGGAACCGGTTTATCTGAATTAAGAAATGAACACCTAACCCAACACAGTGTGCTAGATCTCCCACTCTGCTACTCGACATAGTACCTCTGGCTGATTTACTGGGACGCTAGACGGTTGCGCACTCCGAGCCTTTTATTCGAGATGCGGACTCTTCGCTCATCAAGCAAATGAAAACGTATAAACAGTAATGTTCTCGGTTATACACTCTCATGCGTTTGCTGTGCGTGAAATTTAATAACTGGACTATGCCACTAACTTGATTCACTTTCTCACTGTAACTCGAGTCTCCAAACCCGATGAATTCACCCATCTGCAATTTCAAAGTTGTTTCTACTTCAGAAGGCTTACACAAATCCTTCGCTATCAGTTTCGAGGACTCTTACCTTGGATTATCTTGCCTCTGATTTTCATTTAGTCTGGCATTAATATAATCTCGTCATATGCATCAAAAAGCTATGATACGCTCACCGATCAGTGAAGGGCGATAATGTGTGTTGGCTGTAGCATCATACGTGGACGTGCCACTCAGTGTGACCTAACTAGGTTGCAGCATATAGCAGTTGCTCGTATATGATCGACAAAGGTAAAGTACAGTCCAGCTACCGAAGATGCCTGAGAGAAGTCAGACTTCTTGGTGAAAGTAGTTCTCCACACTCCCAACTTCCTCCGTTGGGAACAATAGCGAATTTGGCCCAAAGTTTCACCTCCGCTTCCTACCATCTCACCTCTAATTTTTTACCGCTGCATCCAGTCCACCAAATTCAACTGCCTTTGTCAATTGTTACCACGGAAGATAGGTGTTAGCCCCCAACTCTTTGGACCGAACATTCATAGAATATCTCAGTTCCCTAGCTATGCACCTCACTCCAAATGGTTCCAACATCTTCGTTTTTGTCGACTGTTTTCCGCTCAGTTTGGAAAATGGTGTGTCCAACTCTAAGTTAAACAACTACCGGGCTACGTCCAGTATCCACATTTTGTTGAAGAGTTTTGCATTGATTCTTACTAGACAACTCATCGTCTGTCTTGAACACAAAGACCTCTTGAGTGAACGACGTTATTGGATCATGCACTACAATGTTCTGCGAGTGATTCGATATTTTGTGTCGCGTGTTAGTTGTTCTTTGCTGAACTGTTTTGGTGAAACGAGTGTGATTACCCTACCGGTATCGGGGTCTAACTGGCTTTGGAACGCAAGCCCATTTAGTAAGATTTCTACGTACAAGTTGATCGTTTGTACAACTTCTCCATGCAAATAAGGACGGCTGGTGCTCCTTCAGAGCCAGAATACTAGGGCTTCAGGTCCACGAGGATCGGCGTTACCCTGTACACTATTCATTTCCATTTTGAAAAGTTCTTTTTTGTTCATTCGTAATAAATGGAATACCTAGGCTCGGTTTCCGGCCTCATCCCTCCAACCTAGTGTTCGTGGGGAAAGAACCGCCAAGGGTATATAAAGCATATTAAACCTCAAAAAAGATCAAAAACATGTAGAGAGTACCGAAACGACAACATTGTTGAAATCCGGAAGCCTTCTACATGCGGCACTGGTACGCATTCAGCCGATACTCAAACATGCTTGACCTTTGGGTCTGCACTTTCAACTAATCAGAGATCGCCAGGAGGCTGGACCACCGAGTAGCCCGGTCTTCTGGCCAATCACGTGCGGCCTGGGTCTATTGACTTTACCAACGCCTAAATGCCAAGTGGATGGATTCTACGTAACTTCCTCATTATCCATATCTCTACGAACGACTCCGGTCTGATTTTTTGTTCAATCTCCGCAAAGTTTGACCACCAACCAACATTACCCTCGCCGTCATCCTCGACAGTGGTTCGTCATCCGTATGTTCATCCGCCTCTGTCGTTTTGCTTCCATTCAAACCCATTAACAAGATCACATAGCGCCTCCCGTACCAAATTGATCTACTTATCCTGTTCTGGCAGCTTATCCTAGTATTCACACGTCAAAGTCCTTGGGACGCGAGCTTCAAGGAAGGTTGGCCGCCTAGCCCCCAGGCCAGGCGTCCTGTCACAATATCACTGCTTTGTAAGTTCCTCATTTGTGTTACCATTGGATAACGCGGTCGTGTTTGCTTCGATGAGCCTTCCCTGATTATGACCAACCTCATTTGATACATTTCATTGGCGCCTTTCAGCGACTGACAATCTCACCATCATGACGTTGCTGCCCTTTGCCTTCAACAGTTGAGCGCCAAACGCGTTACTGATGTACTTCTGTCAGTGGCGATTAAAATAATGTCCCCTGAATATTTTTCTATCCCCTTCCTGTATCTCCTACTAGGAAACAAAAGTTGATGTGGAATTGCTCTCCATCACAACAACCCCAATAAGGAAAGGGCTACCGGAGAAATTCATGTAAAGTATGGGATGGCCGAGCACTAAGCTGAAACGATGCAGCCGCTCAGCTGAATAGAGGCCTACATTTGCTCTACTCGTCTGTAAAGATGACAGCTTCTGAAATGTTTCATCACTTCTCTCAACAGAAAGTCTGATGTCATGCAGTTCAGAATTGTCAAATGCTGAATAACAGCTTGAAGGATGGTCCACAAAACACCTGTATTGATTGGATTTAAGACTATGTCGGACTTAGGAAACTGTGTCTGAGAACTACTGAGCACATGCTATCCTTCAGGTAGTCTTACAATCCAACTGGTGCAACCGAAATTTGGCAAAAACTATCGATTCTTTTGGAGTATAAGTGTCGTGTAGAGGTGTTCAACCTATCAAGGAATACAACCCTCTCACAGGTCAAACAGGCTCTAATATTGCATGACAGGTGGTACTACAATCTGTAGAATGAATTTGCTGAATGAAATCAATGGCCGATTGTATTTCAGTTTTCTTTTTCTCTGACGTTTTATTAATATTATTTGTTCGTGTATCTGTCTGAGGAAACCCTATCGAGATCACCCGATTACTACGTCTCCACTCATCCGTTCACCACTACCAAGTTACTAGTTAGTATTATTATTATTGTGAATGTACTTGTAATTATTTCCATTATTAACACTCCAAACTTGGGTCTTTCTGTCACGTTCGGTTTTCTCTAATTCATCTAATCCTCAGCTAATCACGTCCATCTCAACTCACATCGAAATTTGCGCTTCGGGACTCTCATCGGTTTCACAAGGGGTCCGTAGCCTTGAGCTCTCTCGCCGCTTGCTATTCACACGCTTATTGTGATCAAATAAGTCACAAACCAA